GTTTCTACAAGTCTTATACATATCGAAATATAATTATTCTCCTGCTACTGGAAGAAAGTTTCTAAACCTGATATAAGTGGCCTGTACAGTAGGTTTGATCACAAGCACTCCCAGCAATTATGTTATGTCTAACACACTTTCCTTGTTTGTCTACACTCCAAGAGATTTGTGTATGAAGTGGGAGGTACTTGATGTGTGTTGTGGTTTATGAAACACTTACAAGATGTACCCTACTGTGTAGTGTATACCTAGTTACCAGCTACAGGCCATGGGGTGTGAAGTCTACAGTAAATACAGCTACTTCTATTTAATACAGTAATCAGTCACCAAGGTTTATGATGTGATTTTGATTAATGTTGAATTTCACTAAAGTTTCATTCACAAGTTTTATATTTAACTGCCAAGAAGATACCAACATTTTATATTATTATAATGTAAGAATGCGAGAATAAAAACCATGGAACAACATTTTCAGAAACAATTATGGATTTGACTTTCAGTATTTCATGTATATTTCACCTTATCAACTGATGAATGTTCATTACATAAAATGAAACTTTATACATATTTTGTATTGATTTCTTTCCCTAATCAGAGATTGCCAAGGCAACAATGCCGTATATTAATAATTTGTTATTACACGTCATATAAATCATGTGATTATGTAGCAAATGCATGTCACTGTCTGCCACTAAAGCTGCTGTCCATAAGCATTAAGTCTTTTTAGTTTGTAAAGTTCATGTACTGAAATAAAATCTGATGTAAATAGTTCCAAGATATAGTCTTGGACTATGAAATTCAAACCTCATAACACTTCAGACCAATATGATATGAAGAATTCATATGTTTTATGTGCATGTCAAGTCATTAATTATGTATTACTTGAGCAAAACATTGTTATACAATATAACATAAAAATATCGTTTGATCTGAACATGAAGAGACATCACAGTGGTTTAGAATTTTAAATAAATCATGTAGTAAATAAGTCATTAGTTTAGTTATGGAAGTTTTAAAGAACCTCCCACGTGATGTAAACTGGCCCTGGCTTAATTGAGGTTTTATATTGATTCATCATATCCCCTACTATGACATGAAATGTTGCTCACCTCTCTGGCATCAGGTCACTCACAGAACAGACAAATGGTCCATTATCATTAAGAGGATTTAATCCTTGGTACTAAGATAACACGTGTACACCTGTATATCAAGATTATCCTCACCGAAAGTTAACACCGATTTCTGGGTACACGGGTTGTCCTGACGATGTCACCCAGGATATATACGTTGTCGTATCAACAACCCAGATAACAGATAAACCACTCGGTGTGTCTTTATCAGCCTTGTGTAATATCAACTTCAGCACAGCCAAATGAGCTTTCACCATTGACAACATATTTTATGGTTGTTTGCTTAATTGTATTTACTTTTTCTGGGTAGGTTTGTAATACTGGTCTGGGTATTGTGGTTCCCCACTAGGGACTTTATTGCCTTGAAAGTAGAGTGTCAATAGTTAAATAATGTCTTCACAATTTTCAGTAAGTGTCTTTTGTGTGATTTATTGTTGCTCGTTCAACCTCCGGTCCTGACTTAAATAGGAGTTCATTGATGGGAACAGTAAATGTTTGTTTAGAGTGCCTTGGTTGTGAAGTGCTAATTGATATCGGAGTGGTGAGAGGCTGTTGATAATAGCTACCTGGACATGTCTGCCATGTATTTGGAGCTTACATGGGAAGAGCTTCCAATCCAACACCCTTCCCCATTCCGATATTCAGTTTAGCATTTTTATTATCAGCTAATTTAATATAACTTTTGAATAGAAAAAAATGGAGTTAGTGTAAACACGGTTATTGACTACCTACTGAATTCACATTTTTCTCCAGGGCCATGTGAGTAAATCACCATCTTTGAACATCTTGTTTGATATCGGTTATTTTTGTAATACACATTTGTTTCAGCAAAAGCGGATAACAAAGAAATACATGAAAGGATTTTATGTTTATTGAGGGGTGTACCTGAAACACTCATGGTTTTGGTTGGTCATAGTGTCATTAGTGATATAAACTAGCACTGCACAACCAAGGCACCTGAGACTAAATTTTATTGTTCGAATCCCGGATTGGTCTCAACACGTACTAGACTCTGTACTTTACTGAGAAAGTGTAATCACAAATATAACATATGTTTCATAAGTGAAGTATGTGTGCTGTGTTGTGCACTTTGGCAATCAACAGTTGTTGAAGAATAATTGGTATTAGGTCATCGTAACTTACTTTAATGTATCTGACTTACAGTTGTAGAAGTTTAGCACTTTTAAGACATTTCAAAGTTTGTGGGGATCACGGATGGCCCTGACACGTGACTCATCTGGGCGGGGCGCTTCACTACACAGAGTTGTCATCCCTTGGGTATTTCCGTGTTTCAGTTTGTCAGTACTACAGGCTCCTCTTGGGGGTAACTCCCATGCCACGGGTAAATGTATCACTCGGTGCTTCGCTCCATCAAGCTGAGACATCAAGATAGAAGGGTGGTGGTGGTGTGAGCCTTCAATAACTCAAAGTCTGTGTATTTAAGCTGTTAACTGTCATGATTCTGTGGTAGAATAGGTCCCCACATTGTGAAAGCTCACTAGCAACTGAGTGGGATGAGATAGTTGGTGGTGGAATATTCTTTTAGATGTTTGTTGTACCCCAAATGCATATTATTTTTCAAAAGTCTGATTGGAATTTGATATGAATAGTCACACATATGAGTCAGCTGTGTTAAGACTTTTGAATAAACTTTTGGGTCACAGTGAATCAGAATGTCGGAGTATGTTATCATTATCTATTGCACAGAAAACATATGTTTTCTCAATTCCCATTTGAGAATTAAGACAGCATACAAATTGATTTTCTTAGAAGTCCCATGTTGATCTGTGATCCTGTCAGGTGCATCCATGGTGATCTGACCCCCTGATCAAAGGGAGACAACTCCTCTTACCTGTGACCTTCGGCATGTATGTGTGCATGCATGTAGCTAGTGTAGTGCATATAAGTAGAACTTCACAAAAGAATCACATGACACAAATTGCTTTCCAACATATCCCTTTATCTTCAGGGAGAAGTGATTGCAGTTACACATTTTATTAGCATGTACTTATATCATGATGTTACTTTGCAAGTGTACATTATCTTGAAGCTTCTAGTGCCAACAAATTTACATACTAAAATGAAAATTGCAGTCTGTGCCAAAAGATTTTATGTCTGCTGGCTCAAGCATGGTCCTTAGCTTCATAATAAGTACATTTTAATTGAGCATCATCATATGATGTCACTGACACTCAACAGATTTTACTGGACGCGGTCCTCAGACTTGCAGCTTAGTAAGTTCACAGGCAGAATGTGTGATTGATACTATTCTTAATTTAAACTAAAAGTTTCACCTATTTAGTCTACCTGCAGCATCTCTTTGTGAGAAAATATGGCAATGACCTTATTTTACCCGTGCTGGTTAGTATTAAAGGGAGGCAACTCTGATGATGGAGCTGATGACTTGAAGCAGACTGTCATATCCTTGTCGTAGTAGAAGGATGAGAAGTGATTCTGTCAACCTGCTCAAATCTCATGCTACATTTCATGGGATCCGTGATCAAATAACAGTACAAAACATTTTGACAATGATTCATGAAACATCTATAAAATAGGAATAAAGTATTATAACTTGTTTAAAGTGTGATGTTTTTACAAGTAAATGATGATTTCTCTTATGTGGGCATGCAATACATGGCTCCCTACTGAACATGAATTACATAATGGAAATAAGACAGTGGATGAAACTATTTATGACAACTTTCCATTATCAATTCTGATAGAGGTTTCAGTCAGATATATTTTTTTCACAGAACATAATTCCTTCCCACCCAAAGTCTTTGTTCAAGTTGATAAAACAACTTTTATTCTACCTTTGCCAAGACAATCTGTATGTACCTTTTACTTCAAACTTAAAATGGATTTCTCCTCCAAAGAACATTTGACTATATTCAAGCAAAGCATGTTAAAACACTGGTTTTGAATCTACTATACAGTTTCATAAGGAAATAAAGCAAGGTTGATTGCAAGTGAATATATACATAATAGAGAGAAAAGGTCTGTCTCTTCTCCCCATACATCAATGATTCAAGAAGCTCAGTGGGACATGATATCTTTAGTTCAAGAGCCAAATGCTGCCAGTCAAGAGCAAATGTTAGGGACAAATGTCTCAAAAGGTGGAATGTACTAGCATCCCCTTTGTATCCAGCATACGACATCGCTAGTAATCAACATACCATCATCACTAGTAACCAACATAACAGCATCACTAGTAACCAACATACCAACATCACTAGTAACCAACATACCATTATCACTAGTAACCAACATACCATTATCACTAGTAACCAACATAACAGCATCACTAGTAACCAACATACCAACATCACTAGTAACCAATATACCGCATCACTAGTAACCAACATACCAGCATCACTAGTAACCAACATACCAGCATTACTAGTAACCAACATACCAGCATCACTAGTAATCAACATACCAGCATCACCTGTAACCAACTTACCACATCACCAGTAATCAACATACCAGCATCACTAGTAACCAACATACCAGCATCACTAGTAATCAACATACCATCATCACCAGTAACCAACTTACCGCATCACTAGTAACCAACATACCAGCATCACTAGTAACCAACATACCAGCATCACCAGTAATCAACATACCAGCATCACTAGTAACCAACATACCATCATCACCAGTAACCAACTTACCACATCACCAGTAATCAACATACCAGCATTACTAGTAACCAACGTACCATCATCACTAGTAACCAACGTACCACATCACCAGTAACCAACATACCAGCATCACCAGTAATCAACGTACCAGCATCACTAGTAACCAACATACCATCATCACTAGTAACCAACGTACCCGCATCACCAGTAATCAATGTACCATCATCACTAGTAACCAACATACCAGCATCACTAGTAACCAACATACCAGCATCACTAGTAACCAACATACCAGCATCACTAGTAACCAACATACCAGCATCACTAGTAACCAACATACCAGCATCACTAGTAACCAACATACCAGCATCACTAGTAACCAACATACCAGCATCACTAGTAATCAACGTACCAGCATCACTAGTAATCAACATACCATCATCACCAGTAATCAACGTACCACATCACCAGTAACCAACATACCAGCATCAGTAGTAACCAACATACCATCATCACTAGTAATCAACGTACCATCATCACTAGTAATCAACGTACCACATCACCAGTAATCAACATACCAGCATCACCAGTAATCAACGTACCAGCATCACTAGTAACCAACGTACCATCATCACTAGTAACCAACATACCAGCATCACTAGTAATCAACATACCAGCATCACTAGTAACCAACATACCAGCATCACTAGTAACCACTATACCGCATCACTAGTAATCAACGTACCATCATCACCTGTAATCAACGTACCACATCACCAGTAATCAACATACCAGCATCACCAGTAATCAACATATATAAAGCCATTTGTAGTAAACAAAGATGAACAATGTATATCTGCTGCCTTCATAACATACAGGAGATTTTATGTTTTTTCAAACAAAACACACACAATTTTATGAAATATGTTTATAGCAGATTTGAGGTACACTTGCTTATATGTCACATATGCGTCAGAGAGGAAAATAGGTATTTTGTGTGACTAGAACTAAACCTATAAATGTGTATGGTATACTTCCAACTGTATGTGTGTTGATGGCACTGACTCATAGCCAGGAATAAGTCTTTTTGAGTTGAATTTGAGATGTCAGGGCACCGAGTAAGTGAATGAACAGATACACAGTCAGGACTATCAAGTGAATTTATGTTCTTGGTCTGATGTTGCAGTTTTTGACTGTATTTGGATCTATCTAATTTACATTGTCATCCTGAAAATCCACAGTTTTGTGGAGGGTCACACTAGGTATGTGTATAAGCTGTAAGCTGGATGATCTCACTTATGACAAATGTGTTGTGTTTTGATGTGCTGCAATCATGAAAATAAATAAAACATGCATTGATGCAAAGCTGAAATGATGTGATTTTAGGGTGTGTTAGAAATGGATTAATCTACTCAGGCTTGGCATATACTATTTATCGTTGTAATATACCACATGTCAGTCTGTATCTGACTCACCTTTGCTCATAGCGTACAGTTTGTAAGTAAAATGGAATCAGACAGACTCCATGAAGGAATCTCTTTGTACAAGACTGTGAAATTATCACAATCATACCCAAAAGCCTATATGTCATTGTCATTTATAGTATTGCGAAAGTAGCTGGTAACTTCTGCTTGGAATGGGCTTCCTTTTCGTTGAGGGTGTTGAAGGTTCAAACTTTATTGTGTCAAAGTTCGCACTTTTCACTTTTACATTGCTGCCCTGGTTGTTGTGGACACGTCGTGACCTAGCTGCAGATTTAGGTGGGGATGACCGTGTGTGTCGTGGTCGTCGAGGCGCCACAGGGCTGATGTCACGAGCTGTCCTCATCTTTGTCGCTGTCGTCAATGATTGTAACATAGTGGTCAGGAATGCGGTCTGACTTCGGACGCGTTTTTTTCTGGATGACCTCATGTTTCTTCTTTACAAATGTTTTCTGTGGGCGAACAAACATTGCGTTGTGTTTATCATAGAGTCTGTCAACATCTGACTCAAGTTGAGCAATGTGCTTCACCAGATAATCTTTCTCTAGTTGGAGACGTTGGTTGCGCCGTTTCTCCTCTGAGAGCTTGTAGCTGAGATCTCTCTCATTTATAGTGGACCTGAAAAATCACAAAAAGAATATGTATGCACCAAGTTCCTTGTCATGGAACTAAATCTTCTTGAAATACATTAAACTTATGCAGTTTTCCACTTTTTGGCTTCAGGAGACATGACATACAGTTTGATCTTCTTCATACAGGGTTGATGCATGCTGTGGATATGTGCATACGGTCGCTTGTGTGTGTGTGTGGGAGGGGGGATTCGAGGTGAAGGTGGGTGTGTGTCTGTGTGAGTTTCATATATGTGAACATGTGCACACACTAGTCTGGGCTTATGCAGGCTGTATTGTCAGAGCTCACTGAAATACCATACTGCAATTTAACATTGGTGCCCCTTTTAGACAGTATACACTGGCTCTAAGCCAACAAGTCCTTGCTTTGTCTGCTTAATGCCTAGCACCAAGATGGAATCAAAAAGGCCATGATGCACCCATGGGACTGGGCCACCCATATTAATTCTGAAACACAAAGCTGTATCTTCCAAAACCCTGTAGAGGATCATTTAAAAAATCAATGAAGCCAAGTGAGACAAACATCAAATTTCCAGAGAGTCCTCTGTGTGAAAATAAATATCTTGGTGTGCATAGACATGGATATTTCAGGCTAGTACATGTATCTATCCTCAGATTCCTATGCTAGTCACAGGAGGCAACTTAATGTAATGAGCAGTCAGACAGGTAGATTGCATGCCACCATGTCTATGCTCATTATTGCAAATGTGTTTGTCTAATACAGCTGCAAAAAATATATATATTTTGGGCTTTTGTCTTGTTGTGTGGCAATCAACTACATACAAATGTATAGATACTAACTTCTCCACAAGCTGAGGAAGAGTCAAACTCATACGGTCCACATCTTCAAACTTATCCACACACTGCATCATCACCCGGTCTAGACAGTTCATCCTGTCTAGAATCTCCTTCACCTGCTCCTTGATCATTCGGAAACTCACATCTACCTCAAAGTCAAAGTCAGTGCCATACATATGTATAGCCATGTCCTCATACAACTCCTGGATGTCCATAGCATTCGTGTCTGTTTGGACTTCTTTGGAGGACTGGAATACAGGTGTGGGGATCCGTACAGCCTCATCGGACATCAACCGCTTGTTTTGTTGACGAGTGCGTTCCTTCTGGATTTCCTCAGCAAGCCACTTTTCTGTCTCCTTCTGCTCTGTCTCTGTCAGATGGAAGAGATTGCGCTTTATGAAGATAGTCACATTCCTCTTGATGTCATCATCTGGCTGTTTCCGACTGGTGGCTCCGTACATCCAGTGATTGGCTCTGTAGTAGGAATTGAGAAGATGTATGTTGGGTGAAAGGTTTGGACGAATTGTATTGTTTAGTTACAGAATGATAAAACTGATTCCATGTTGATTTAATTTAAAGATTATTATGTTTGTTCTCAGTGTTAAATTTTTTAACATTAGATAATAGGTTACTAGAAATGAACCCTTTTATTTCCCATTTCTATAATTCGAAAAAGTATCAAAGTCATCTCTTTGGCTGGATTGAGTTGAAATTGTGAAATAGACAAGGAAAACACAAAACAGAAGCCACCACCAAAATAAGCAACAGTGCATGCTAAGCCAAGTGTAAAACTGTCTTGTGCTGGGATGTCACAAAATGGGAAAAATATTAAAACAGAATTTCCTTTGAAGCGAAATTGTTTGCAATTCTGAAATGTTTTGTGTGACATGTTGGGGCAAGATACACTCACCTTTTTGCAACATATAGTATCATCACTGTTTTAATAGTGATTCCTAAACTCATACTCATGATATAGATGAGACTGTACATTCCACACTGCTTTTAGCAGAGATTTCTTATTGATGTTTAAAGGGTTTTGTTGCTTTTATTAAACAATGCGTTGACTATAATGTACTCCTTTAAAAATGAGAAATATCAATATGAAATATGAAAACAACTTACTCTCGTCTGCAAGCTTTAATTACAGAAAAGTTACTGCATGAAGTCAGGATGCAATGGGTGAAACAGTTTCAGTAGTTGATGGCAAAAGTAACAGATTTATTATGTTACCTGTGTTCATGATAACAAGCTATGAGGAAAGAGGATGTAAAATTAGTTTTGAATGGGGATGAAATTTTGTGATTTATCATTTTTTAACTGAAAATAAGTTGTATCATTGCTTGACATCTGAATATTTGTGGAAATGAATTAGTTCATGTGTAAATCTCTCCAACATTCATCTGATGTCAATATGAAACATCTCCCAGATGCATTTGTGATTGGCATTATAATCTGTACTTAATATGAATTACTTGTACTTCAATTCACAGAGAGAGATGAGAATGGTTTAACATTTACAAAGACCTACAAGGAAAAAGGAAGGGTTGGGGTGCAGCGTTAGTAACCTTTTTGAGAGGGCACTCCAAATATTGCACCTGAAGCTGTAATGGATGATGCAATCTTGAGTTTAGCTTCTCTGTTCTTCTCCTCGATGTAGCTGGTCTTCATCTTTTCAGCCAGCCAGGGGTTGGTTATTGACAGGATCTCCAACAGCGCGGTGAAGGCCTTGTAGCCTCTCTTGGGCAGCAGCTCCAGCAGGCGGTGGGCCTTGCTCACGTAACTCAGCTCATTCTGAAACACCAGGAATATGTGACATGCCTGGAGCCTTGCTCATGTAACTCACCTCATTCTGAACACCAGGAATATGTGGCATGCCTGGAGCGTTGCTCATGTAATTCAACTTGTTCTGAATACCAGAAATATGTGGCATGCCTGTAGCCATGCTCATGTAAGTCAGCTCATTCTGAACACCAGGAGTATGTGGCATGCCTGGAGCCATGCTCATGTAACTCAACTCATTCTAAACACCAGGAGTATGTGACATGCCTGGAGCCATGCTCATGTAATTCAACTCATTCTGAACACCAGGAGTATGTGACATGCCTGGAGCCATGCTCATGTAACTCAACTTATTCTGAGCACCAGGAATACATGACATGCCTGGAGCCATGCTCATGTAAGTCAACTCATTCTAAACACCAGGAGTATGTGACATGCCTGGAGCCTTGCTCATGTAACTCAACTCATTCTGAACACCAGGAATATGTGACATGCCTGGAGCCATGCTCATGTAACTCAACTCATTCTGAACACCAGGAATACATGACATGCTTGGAGCCATGCTCATGTAACTCAACTCATTCTGAACACCAGGAATACATGACATGCCTGGAGCCTTGCTCATGTAACTCAACTCATTCTGAACACCAGGAATATGTGACATGCCTGGAGCCATGCTCATGTAACTCAACTCATTCTGAACACCAGGAATACATGACATGCCTGGAGCCTTGCTCATGTAACTCAACTCATTCTGAACACCAGGAATACATGACATGCCTGGAGCCATGCTCATGTAACTCAACTCATTCTGAACACCAGGAATACATGACATGCCTGGAGCCATGCTCATGTAACTCAACTCATTCTGAACACCAGGAGTATGTGGCATGCCTGGAGCCTTGCTCATGTAAGTCAACTTGTTCTCAATACCAGATATGTGTGGCATGCCTGGAGCCTTGCTCATGTAACTCAACTTGTTCTGAATACCAGATATGTGTGGCATGCCTGGAGCCTTGCTCATGTAACTCAACTCATTCTAAACACCAGGAGTATGTGACATGCCTGGAGCCTTGCTCATGTAACTCAACTCATTCTGAACACCAGGAATACATGACATGCCTGGAGCCATGCTCATGTAAGTCAACTCATTCTGAACACCAGGAACATGTGACATGCCTGGAGCCTTGCTCATGTAACTCAACTCATTCTGAACACCAGGAACATGTGACATGCCTAGAGCCTTGCTCATGTAACTCAGCTCATTCTGAAACTCCAGGTATATGTGACATGCCTGGAGCCATGCTCATGTAAGTCAACTCATTCTGAACACCAGGAATATGTGACATGCCTGGAGCCATGCTCATGTAACTCAACTCATTCTGAACACCAGGAGTATGTGGCATGCCTGGAGCCTTGCTCATGTAACTCAACTCATTCTGAACACCAGGAATATGTGACATGCCTGGAGCCTTGCTCATGTTACTCAGCTCATTCTGAAACACCAGGTATATGTAACATGCCTGGAGCCTTGCTCATGTTACTCAGCTCATTCTGAAACACCAGGAATATGTGACATGCCTGGAGCCTTGCTCATGTAACTCAGCTCATTCTGAACACCAGGAATATGTGACATACCTGGAGCCTTGTTCATGTAACTCAACTCATTCTGAACACCAGGAATACATGACATGCCTGGAGCCTTGCTCACAACCTCAACTCATTCTGAACTCCAGGAATACATGACTTGACTGGAAGAATGTCATTAGATTTGACATGTTACTTGTATGGTTCTGGCCACTGATCTGTAGGGTTGGGGGCGGTGGGGTAGCCTAGTGGTTACAGCGTTTGCTCGTCACGCTGAAGACCCGTGTTCTATTCTCCAAATGGGCACAATGTGTGAAGCCCATTTCTGGTGTCCCCCACCGTGATATTGCTGGAATATTGCTAAAAGCGGCGTTAAACCAAACTCACTAACTCACTCTGTAGGGTTGGGAATTGGTTGTAAACTCATGTTTGATGATAGTGTCAACCAGCTGATCTTCAAAATGAATTTAGCAGTGTATTCTCGCTTGTTTCCAATGATATGTTCAGTAAAACTAGATCACACCCAACAGAACCAAACAAAATTACTTTTGCACTACATTTTTCAAAATAGATAATAATAATAATAATAATAATGTGTCCATTTATATAGCGCCAAACTCCACACTGGGTATGCTCATAGCGCTGACTTTTTCCACCGGGTACCCATTTTCCTGCTGGGTGAACAGAGACAATTTTGAACAAACTCACTTGCCTAAGGTGAGACCACATGTGTCACATGTTCTTCGTTGTGGGGCAGGACTCAAGTCCTAGAAACTCTTAGGAGTCAAGCTGCCAAACACGGTCACCCATCCAAGGACTCTCCGAGCTCGACGCTGCTAAACTCCACCGATTTGTGACCTGAGCTTTGAGCCCAGGACCACGCGCCACCACTAGATAGTCAAGGAGCTTATGGGATTCCGTGAAAGGTTTTGATGAAAGCAAATCATATATTCTTTTGTGTTTATATGTTAAAGGAGTATAAAAAAATGTTTGGTTCCAATCTGAATATTGATGCGAAAGCTATTTTTAGCTCAAAATCCAAGATGGCCACCAAAATTTAACCGGGAACTGAAAAAGTTTCAAAAACTCGGAACAAAACAATGGTTTTAATATCAAATACCATGCATACTAGTATTTGGTTACGGAATATATTTCTCATATGCTGTAAGTCACCAGATCTTTTTAGTTTGATTTTAGTCTTAAATTTACATTAAAGAGTCATTTTTAGCTCTAAAAGTTATAATGATGAATAAAACCCCCATTTCTTCACAAGGCATATATTTTGTATAGAACTAGTACAATATGAAAAAGTAATATACTTTTTACCCTGTTTATCAACTACATTGTATAGAAGAGGTCTTTACATGAAACTGCGACCCAGAAATATACTCTTCAAAAAAAAGAAACGCACATGCCATTTTTTTGAAGGATTTCTTGCATTAGTTTAAGAGCTATTATTTCATGTAATCCCAATGGTAAAAAGTTGAAAATTCAAACGTCTATAGACAAAGCCTTTACTGTTGTGTTTCTGTTCTCTTGAGTCCACAAGATGGCGTCAAAGTCAGTCTTTGTATGGCCACCATTGGCAGCAATTACAACTCGGCAGCGTCTCAGCACAGACTGGATAAGTTGACGAAATAGCTCTAATCATCGTAGGCGACTTCAATTTCCATTTTGACAACAAGGATAACCATGACATTAAACGAATAATTATTCTCCTTGAAGTCCACAACTGTGTACAACTCGTGTCAGAGGCAAGCCACAAAGGTGGACACACTCTGGACTGGATAGTTACCCGTGATTCAGACGCATGTGTCAGTTGTGTACCTGTATAGGATCTACAGCTCTCTGACCATTTCTATATATTTGTGAGCTTGGAGCTCTCAATACCCAGTCCAAATGTGAAGATTACTCACTGTAGGAACATGCGCTCCCTGGATATGGATACTTTTAAAGACAATTTGCTAAACTCAGACCTTATACTTGAGCCACCATCTGATGCTGAGAGTCTCGTTCTGCTATACTATAGAGTTCTATCTGAGCTGCTATATAGACAAACATGTACCAGTGAAGGACAGAGTCATACCAGTCACTAAAACATCTGCTTGGGACTTCACACCTGAAGTTCGACAAGCGAAAAAAGACAAGAGGAAAGCAGAACGCAGATGGAAAACAATCTTTCCTGGAGATTCATCTCCAAATGTATATTTCAGCCCAAAATCACTCAACAACGGTCATCAGACAAATCAACATCTCAATTCTAAGATTGAAGCCAACGAGTCAAGTCCAAAGTTGCTGTTCAAACTTTTGTTCAGTATCTTGAGTAAACACTTTGAATTGACACTTCCGACATCTGATGACAATGAAGTAATAGCACAGACATTTTCGGATTATTTCTACAAAAAGATCCAAGAACATTCATGACAAGATTTCGTCTTCTGCGGCTGTGGATGAAGCTGATATTCCTCCAAAAATGTTTGATGGCACGCCTCTTACTCATATTGATAGTTTCACTGATATTTACCAACATTAGTGCTGATTATTAACTCCTCTACTTCATCTGGTTATACCCCAAGTGTACTCAAGTCAGCTCTAGTTAGGCCACATCTGAAGAAATCAAGCCTTGATTAGGAGGATCCAAAAAACTACAGGCCTGTTTCACACTTAGCATTTATATCCAAACTCAGTCCAGTCCAGTCGTCTCATGGGCCACCTTTCCTGGCATAACCTCTATGAGGTGTTCCTATCCGCCTGCAGAGCACACCACAGCACAGAGACGGCCCTGCTGAAGATCCCGAATGACCTACGATGTGGTATCGACACAGGACAAGTGGCCCTGCTCACATTACCATGGCCTAAGCAGTGCCTTTGACACGACTGATCACCAGAGACTCCTCAAAAGACTTGATACAGAACTCAAGGACTCAAACCGTTGTTGTTGGTGAGTCTGTTTCAACCGCATCTAGGCTTGAGTGCGGAGTCCCTCAAGGATCCATGCTTGGTCCGATCCTCTTCACCCTCTACACTGTTCCACTTGGCTCTGTTGTAGCAAACCTTAATCTTGACCACTTCTACGCAGATGACACGCAGCTGTGGAAGTTATTTCAACCAAACACACAGTCAGCTATAGAGCGTCTCTCTGTCAGACATCTGACTGTTGCCAGAAGATATTCATGGATGTCATCAAATGCCTTGAAATTAAATTAAGAGAAAACAGAGTCCATTCTTTTGGGACAGGCTGGAAAACGCGAGCAGTGTGACATGACTAGTGTGTGTGTCTGTGGAGCAACCATTCCTCTTTCTTCCACTGTCAACGATCTGGATGTTGTCATCGATCAAGATCTAAGTATGACAGTACACGTCAAGTATGTCACTAAAACTTGCTACTTCCATCTCCACAATATCAGCAAGGCCAGACCGTTCTTACCAAAGATGCCTCAAAAACTCTCTGCCTCAGCCTAGTCACATCTCGTATGGACTACTGTAACAGCCTTTTGGCCGGATCTCCATCTTGTGTCACAGACCAACTCCAATGCAAACAGAATTTAGCTGCTCGCATTACCTCCCAGATCACCAGAAAAAAGCACATTACACTAACTCTTAAGGACCTTCAATGGCTGCCCGTGAAACAAAGAATCTCCTTCAAACTATTCTGTCTCACATACCAGTGCATGACTAACACGGCCTCAGTCTAACTCTCAGATGTACTTCAGGCTTATACACCATCTAGATCTCTCAGATCAGGGAATCAACACCTTCTTGTTATCCCCAAAGTCAAACAAGCTAAATATGGACACCGTGTCTTCTCCTATCCTGCTGATTAAAAAAAAAAAACCCCACATTTATTTGTATATCTTTTTTTTCAAAGATTATAACCATTTTAGAAAGTTATTCGATCTGATGACTTGAAAATTATTTCAAGGGATTTAATTGAGAGAGTGTGAAGCAGAAAATAGTGTTTTCTCCCCATCATTTCAATATATTCTTATCTTTTTTCAAAGAACTCTGCTTTTAGAAGAAAAACTTCAAGCGTAATAATAAGAAATTGATAAATCATAATCTGATATTGACATACTACATTTTGAAATAAGGACTGCTCCCTTACTGACAGTCTCACCAAACAAAAAATAAACATCTCTTTTTTGTTTCATACATAACTGTTCTTTAATAACTTGATTTACATTGAGATGATGAAATGAAGCAATCATATACTTACAAAATGCACAAAACCTACATCTGCTTAAATTCGTCTGCTAGCTGCCATTTTGAGAGAGGAAGTGTTCATTATATATATTGGGGTTTTCTTTTAATAAAATATTTCATGAAATAGAGAAACACACTTGGATAAAGTTAATAACCTCAAACTTTAAATATTCAACTCTCCCATTATGACCTTCTGACCTTTTAGCAACCTTTTCCACAACCACTTTGTACAGTGCTCAAAAGTACTATTTGCACCATATTTCAACTTGGAACCAAACTTTTTATTTAACTAGCATGTCTGATGAATACAAAAAACACAATGTCTTGCTTTCATCACAAAAGTTCCATGGGACTTGCTGTACCCATCCTACCAGACTAAGACCCAGGCTACAAACTTTTTCATGGTTTCTCCAAGTATTTGGTAGAAAGTAGTGAATCTCAGGATGACATTACCCTCACAGGTCAAGAGGGGTTAAAAAAATGATTGTTTTTGATTACAGGTTTTGCAGCTTGTTCTGGATTTGTTGTTAATTTGGATCTTTCAGTCAATCTTCCAAGTTTGATGGACTGGACCATCTATACTGTTCTGATCAGAAGGTGATCATACTGACCTGAATGACAGCAGACATCTCCTTGTCCAGGACGTTACTCTCACAGAATGCACACAGGAAACTCTCTGTGACAACTATTTCATTAGCAAGACGATGTCGGTACTGGCCGAGAACCCTCTTCTCAGCTTCGTCCATCTTTATGGGACTTCTGTCACTCTGGCAATGAATTAGTCCTTTATCAGACTTCATGAACATCCTTATGAACAAAATCACTTTGTTGTCATAATTAAGACTGAGTGAAGAGATCAATACATATCAATAAATTGGAAGCTTTAATACATTAAGTTTAAAATCAGTATATTGATTTGTTTTGTTTGTAGCTGTGGAAATATGTTAAGATATCTCCTTTAAAGACTAAAACAATTTGTTATCAGGAAATCTATATCAGTGACCTGTAAATGGTTAATCTGATCCTCTTTCTAAGGGATTCCTTTCAGTACTGAGTATCACTGATTAATTTTTCTTAAAACATTTGGAAAATGTGGAAAAAAAATTAAAATACACTTTAAGAAAATGCTTGGTTAAACCAGGGATGGTGATTTTCCGCTGATCCGCGGATTTCTGCGGATTTTATTTCAAATTGTTCAATGGTGAATCATCTAAATCCATTGAGAAACCCTCAATTCGATGACACAATATTAAGTTTTCAGCTGAAAATAGATTTTCCTGTTGCCATCCCTGGTTAAACACAGGTTGAAATTGAATTTCCTTTTTAACTTTTACAGTGGAAAAATAGGCTTTTAGTTCATTGCTTGACACGATTTCGCATATTCATCGGAGTACTAAAAAAAATATTTTAGAAAAATTAACCATGGTAAGCATGAACATTCAGCTTGTATCAACAGAACATTACTACAGTGATCTGTGGATTGTGAGGTTTTTCAATTTGTCCCAGGTTCTTGTTTTCAATAAGACCTTTTTTAGTTTTAACAGAAATCAATTCCAAAAGCAGAAAAACAAAAATATATTCTTTCACCCAAACATTCAAACATTAAATTACCTCACCTCGTTATAGTCCTGTATGCCTTCGTCCTCTACATGGAAACACCTTGACTGAGGCCGTCGTCAGCAGGGATCAGTGCTACATCGCTTCAGTGACTGCCTTGTTTGAGTCCATACCTTTGCCAAGCCATTCGACAACATGCAATATAGATACCTGGATCATACCTCATATCTCGCCATGCTTACTGCATTACCCATGATACACACGGAATGCCTGGGAATCATGGCTACGACACAGGGTTGTCATAAGGATATGAAATTAAATCCCTTACTGTCATTACAATGCAGGGGCTGAGGTTATTTGTAGATGTGTATGGATGTTTTGTCATTATCAATCACTGTAATCAGCTCGGACCGAGACGTCAGGTGGCTAGGATTCAATACTGACAACTGTAGATCACTACTGGAAAACTTTTAATGCACAGGGTACATAATAGAGCAATAGGGAATTATCCATTTAAAAAATATATATTACAAGATGATAAATGTGAATTATGAATAAACCATTATTTTTATTGATATGTTGAAAGAGTGATCAAGAGTCTTTGATTTCAGTTATAAATACAAGCATGAAATGATTTGGTTATTTTTTAGTACTTTCTTTCATTTCATATCAGTTGTTCTGATAATTTTTCCTTCATTCATACAAAATGTATGAGCCATGTACCGGCATCACTAACAATCTGTAACTAGTGGGAAAGAATGAGTACACTCTGATGTGTTAATCCCCCTGTAAAACACACAGAAGCCATTACCTAGATGTCATGGTGAAGGTTAAACATTTACCACATGCTTAGTGATTTATATTAAGTAGTCAAATAAAGGTTATATCCAGACTTCACTTATGTTTTATCAACATCTTCATATTTTCTGTGTTGATTACAGATATTCTCATATAGGTAGTTTACTGTAAATATCAAAGTATACTAACAGTCGCTTAGTTCAGTTATTACTCTTCAAGTTACGGGAGGTGAGACAGAGGTCACAGGGTCATGAACACCAGGCCAGTAATTGTCGGTTGTCATGTGCCAGGCAAGGGTTTGACAATCAGAAGACTTTGCAATCTCTTTGAGGTGTTATCAGTGATCAATTTGTACTGCTCAACTGTTTCAAAACTGATCTTTGCCTGCCCATTGTAAGTCTATAGCTTCAATGTGAGGCCAACAAGCAGATCTTTGATCACCTTTTTGTGGGGACCCTGTAGGTTTTGTCAGCTTTTTAATTATGAATGTCGCGTGACATTGCAACTGTTGCCATTACATTTTTGTTGTCTTTTGATTGGAGCTGGTGAATAGCAGACAGACGAGGAGAAACCCTGTGAATGTAGGACTGTTGAAGATTAGTTTACATGTTATGTGCCGTCTTCAGTTCATCTCATGTGTTGAAGGGTTGTGATATCTTCACTTAATCTATGGGTTGAAACCTGTCAATATATTTCAAGCCCAGTTCCCATGACAGAAGGGAAGAAGAAAGCTTGACACTGATATGACTAGAAAATAGAAATAATAAACATGATTAGATTTATAAACAGTGGACTACTCACTGAGAACAGGACGAGAAAACTGACCTGTTATGTTGGTATTTTACAGGTTCCTTCAATATTTTGGCAGGTATTCTCTAAGTTCTACTTAAAAGAAGTTAAAGAACACCGATTTTGTTAATATGAATGTACTTAAATATTTTAAAGTGTTTTAGAGTTTATAAAACCAACTACAGATCAACCAAACCCTCCACAGATCAACCAAACCCACCACAGATCAACTTATATACAGATGATCTTAATTATATATGAATCCAATTTCACCAACCATACCAATGAAATACTACACATTACTACACTGTGGCTGAAGCCAGAACCATGGACCTCTGATCTGAGGTCAGATGCCTTGCTCACATGAGGTTAACCCCATCAGTAAGCTGAATAAGGTGAGGATGTCTTCTACGGGATGACTCCATGCCCTGTTACACATGTTGCACAGATCTTGAATGTTTTGTCAAATTGAAAGAGTACTGGGCACTTATTCTCGAAACGTTCGTAGCCCTAAGAATTCTTATCTTTGATCGTAGCCAATGTGTTAAGAATGGGCTTAAGAAGTTCATAGGGCTACAAACGTTTCGAGAATAGCTAGCCAGATCTATATGAAGTAGGGGAACGTCCTCATAAATCTCCATTCCTTAAGAAAACATAGACCCTGGCTCCATTCTTTTAAGGTAATGAAGGGTACTCCGGATTTCCAGTGTTCACCTAATTGGTGATGTTGGAATTAAGTAGTGTTTACTTGCCCCACACACATGCAAAAGGAAATTAGATACTTAATAGTGTCTAGTATGAATATTTGACAATCATTAGGGCACTTGTTGAAAATGTAAAGTTTAATTTGAAAATTTATAGTTTTTAATGCTAGAATGTAAGAGTCAAATATGGATTTTGTTTTTTTGTAATGTTGGTGTTGCACTGGAAGAAGATGCCTGCATGACCCACAGCCTGGCGACTTCTTGCTTTGTGAAAGTAACTGAAGTGTATGTAAAATCACTGCTCACAAGGTTCAGGGGGTTCAAAAATTATTATAGAGCATGTTGAAGTTAATGTTTGGCATTGGCAGAGCGTGGGGTGGGGGCTTGGGGTTTTTGTGTGTGTATAGAGATGTTTAGTTTTGTAAATACATGCTCATTTTTTGTGTATAACATTTTGCAATCAACAGATATCATAACATGTCATGTGTGCAAGTATCACACCTGCCTGTCAAAGTTAATCAAAGCTGTGTATTGCATACTGGCATTAGCGGACAGGCAGGCAGACACATAGGTGTCCAGGGCTCCCACAGGTCAGGGAAAAGTCAGGGAAATTTGTCATTTCTCTGAAAGTCAGGGAAAAGTCAGGGAATTTTGATATGTTTTCAAAAGTCAGGGAATAGTCAGGGAATTTGGGGTTTAAGTCAGGGAAATTTAGGGGTTTGGTCAGGGAAAAATAAGACTCAGAATGTCGCTAATCAGGTATGGTAGTAGTCAAAGTCAAAGAAGCAGCACATGTTCCAGACATTTCATGAAATAAATTACAGTTCAGATAAGAGATTGCTTTTAAGCATAACAGCACGTTTTACATAAGGCCCTAGATTACATATTACATTTTCATTTCTGGAGGATAGAATGGAAACAAAGTCACTTGAAGGATATTTTTTACAGATAATTATTTGGCATGTATTGTTTTCTTAAATCAGCATAATTTGAATTTTATCTTCTACAGACGGGTGACATAACAGACATATTCTTCTATGAAGCACAATTGGTTGGATTTGTGAATCAAACAAAATGAAACATATTTTCCGGGTTAAAATTCCCAAATTCTGGGAAACTGACATAAATTTGATAAGAGCCTTCTTAGCAAGAATGGGGATATAGTAGGCCTTGCCCGTCTGTCTGTCCGAATCCATCCGTAATCATTTTGTTTCTGGAGCATAACTCGAAAACGGTTCAGTGTTTTTAACAAAACTTTGCAGATATATCAAACAGACCCTAAAGTGGTGCCTTTGACTATTTACATATTTTGTCATTTTTATTTTCTTTGGTTGCCATGGAAACGCGTTTTAGACTGTTCTTAAAAGGAGTGGTGGGCTTTGTTTCGAGCACAACTTCGAAAACCGTTTAATATCTTTTCAACAAAACTTGGCAGATATATCAAACAGAACCTAAAGTGGTGCCTTTTGCTATTTACAGATTTTGTCATATCTATTTTTCTTGGTTTCCATTGAAACATATTGGAATTTGTCTAAAAGAATGAAGTTCAACTGTCAGATGATTTGCTCTTTCATATTTGTATGGGCTGGGGGATTTGTCATCTTCTGATGACTCTTGTTTAGTATGGAAAAACACTAATCCGAGATAGGCATAGTGATTAACAATAGATAATTGTTTGCCATTCAAAAACATTTTTCTTTATAGGCAACAGATCCACCTCTTCTAAAGATAACTATGTTAACCGACAATTTTCCATTCATTTGTATACTGTTCCAAAATATTATATAGTATGATGGCTATGGTGGTTTCTTGCAAATTGTGAAAGCCCATATTGGCCAAAAATACCCATATAAGTTTCATTGTTAAAGTACAGCATAGGTTTATAATATGCCCTATGTTCTGACATTTGCTGTTTATTCACAAAATTGAAAGTGGTTTAATGATGTTCATAATCTAGTTGTCATGGTTGTACTGAATGTAAAGTTAAATCTTGCATGTTTATTCTTTCCAAATACGCCTTTTATAATTACAACATTTTGTGATAATAAAGAAATGTGTTCCTGACTTTGAGTGAAACAATTCAATTAAATCATTAGTTTCACATTTATGCTCTTTGTCAAAAGCCTTTAATATAAAATACAAAGTTTTCAGATGATATATTACTGACTTCACCTGAGAATATATATTTGATGGTCATGGTCAAATGCTTCTAATAGTATTATGTAACATTGTGGCAGGAGAGTCAAGGAAAATTTTCTTCATGACAAATATCAATGTTTTGGTTAATGTAATAAATTAACAAATATTGTGTGTATTTATGATATGTGTGAAGAAAATATCTTAACAGGGTGGTTAGGACTGACTGAAAGGGAGGAAGAAGGCCAGTTTTTACACTTAAATGGTCAGGGAAAAATCTATACTTGTCAGGGAAAAGTCAGGGAATTTTGGCCTGCCATGCCTGTGGGAACCCTGGTGTCAATAAAACAGACATTGAGTTTTGTCTCTGACAAAGACATATCTATATCACAGTTAGAAATTCTGTCAATGCTAAATAATGGCATTTCTTTTAAGTATCGAACTGAGAAAGTGACTCGGTAAGAAGAACGTGTTGTGAAATAGACAAATGAAATTATATAAACAGTTAAATCGGTAATCTACTGTCATAACATATGAAAAGCTCGCGCCTGTGAAATATCAACAAAACATTAGAAATTTAAAATAGCCCACATCAAAGCCTACTCTTAGTACTCACCGCCAGCGAAGGTTTGACATATAGCTGAGTAGATCTAGATCCTTAACAAGGTTTTTTCATGTAACGAGTAGATTATTTACTATTTGTTGTTTGTGTACACAACCAAGATTACACTACTCCTGCTCAC